TTACTTTGTTTCTGATTTTAGTCCTTGAGACCAAACCAGATTTGTTTTATTTGTTCTATTCACATCTGTCACATTCCTTCAAATTTTAACTTTGACATGAATCTGGGCTGTGTACCAGAGGTGGTATTCAGCAGGTTCTGACCAGTTCTGGAGAACCGATAGTAGAAATTTTGAGTAGTTCGGAGAACTGGTAAATACCACCTCTGACTGGCCCTGCCTCCATTTATTCTCTGCCTCCCAAATCCCAGGTGATCGGGAGGTAATGGAGATTTTACAGTATCCTTCCCCTGCCATGCCCACCAAGCCACGCCTACAGAACCAGTACTAAAAAAAATTGAATCCCACCGCTGCTGTGTACCTTGTGTTAGATCCTTCTTATTTCTTTATATATAATGTTTACATTAATTTTGGTACTATAATGGACCTGAAAACTTGGAATGTATTAAGTGTGAAACTATGTTCTGCTAAGAGGCAATTGTTCTTGAGATGTTTTCTGATATTATTCACGTCCTATGCTAGGCTACAAGTGTACTCCAAAATTCTTGGTCTGTAGCTATGGTCTTGCAACTAGTTTTCTGATACAGATACCAAAAATTCTCCTTTGGAATTGCAGGAAGTTATAATTGTTAAAAATTTAAAAACTAAATATCTTTCATTAACAGGTATATGAATAAATGATTATGCATACATTCATTATTATGATGTCTAATATATGTTTTTGCAGGGATATTTGCCTTCAAGTGTGCTCGTGCAGAGGAACTGTTTAATATGCTGCAGGAAATCATGCAGAACAATAGTATAAATGTAGTAGAAGAACCAGTTGTAGAAAGGAATCTACATCAAACAGAGATTGAGGTTCCAAGAACACCTCTCACACCTACCAGTAAGTTGATGTGTGAGTGATTCATTGACTAGGCTTACATGATTTGTTAAGGTTGCCATTTTTTTTTAACTTTGAATGTATCAAGTGATAATTATTATACATAATTTTCACACCACGTGACAGTTAATATTTTAAAGAAAATATAAAGTAATTAGTGGACTAAAATAATTTGTCATAAGGAATTCATTACTGTATTTTTTTTCAAGTTGATAATCTGATAAGGATTGATGTTAGTCACTGTTATTGAAAGTTTCTGAGGAAGGGAGATTGTCGGCAGAGATAGATTGTCTTGGAAATGACCTATGACAACTTACTGTAGAGTCAGGACAAAGTTTGGATTGGAGAGGCCTACTCTACAAAAGCACTGACAGATATTGGCCCTCTGGCTGTACCGAGGTGATCTCTTGGAAGGACTTCAGAATGGGGCTTTAGCCTGGGATTTACACATGCTTGCTAATATTGAAAGAGAGAATATGTTTCTACAGTGCCATATACTTGCCACATTGGGGAGAAAGTAGTGGACTATATAAATATGATTGTATAAGAAAAGGTAATTTTTTCAGAGGATAATGTTTTTTTGAACTACATACCGTACCTAGGAGACAACCAGATAGCATAAATGGATTCTTTGTACTTACTATGCTACAAAACTGATATTGCAGCATTAGAAAGATAAATGTATAACTCCATTTATTCAATTGATTGAAGACCTGATTCACTTACTACTTATAGGCTAATTGCCTATACATGTAGACTATGTACAGCCAATATCATGAAATATAGGACTCATTTATGGAGAATATAATAGACTAAAAATTATTAAAATTATTGTCATATAAATGTATTAGAAATACATATATACTTGAATAATATTTACATTAAATATTTACATTAAATACACACGCACATATATGTATGTATGTATGTATGTATGTATGTATGTATGTATACATTATAGTATAATGCCCTATCATACTGTTTTTTTCTTTGTTATTTTTTTCACTTTTTTCTTACAGCATGTTTTATGTGTTTATTCTTCTCTTTGACAATGTACTGTATTTTTTGGAGTATAAGACGCACACACACCCCTTAAAAGTGGAAGAAAATTTAGGTGTGTCTTATAGACCAAATCCGGGCATTTTTGGCCTCCCAACGCTCCGCGCGTCACGTTTTCATCCTCCCCAGTCCCCAGAAGCACTCTGCAGTGCTCTGCACAGCCCGTTTTCGCCAAAAAATGAGCCTGTTTTGGGCCTCCCAAGCCCTCCGCACATGACTTTTTGGAACCTAAAAATGAACCTGTGTTTGGCAAAAATGGGCCCAGTTTTGGCAAAAACGGCATGTGCAGAGTGCTTCTGGGGGCCAGGGAAGGCTAAAATGCAAGCACCAAGGCCAAAAACTATTTTTTTCTTGTTTTTCCTCCTGTAAAATAGTCTGGTGTGCCTTATAGTGTGAAAAATACGGTATCTATCCCCCATTATTGTCTTTGGGTTTTTTCTCGTTTTTTCTCAATTTTGTTACTTATTAAAAAACAAATAATTGCTCCAAGTCTTGGGAATGGTGTGGTTTATAAATTTTAATGAGTAAAATCTGATGCAGAGTAGGCCAAACACAAGAATTGCATTTGTTTTTGTTTCGTCTTTTAGCCAGTCCATGCTTCTAGACATGTATTTGGTTTTAATATATGTGACCTCTTGCTCTAGGCAGGCGCCTTTTTAACATATATGTAGTTTGTAGTTTTTTGTAGTTTTATTAGAATTTGTAGGCCGCCCTTTTCCCTGAGGGGACTCAGGGCGGCTCA